TAGGCTTGAGATGGATTAATGATGGTACATTGAGCGTTGACCCCCCTATACTGAATTTTATTGTTGTTAACAACCATTTGATCAATAAATATGAGAGATGCCCTCTCAAAAAAAAAAAAAACAGCTAAAAAAAAGCACTAGTCCATATAAAGCTTATAAACCCCAGTGCCAGGTAATGTAGGTGGTCTGTCTGTATTTACTGGTATTATTTTGTGTGTTGTGGAAACACCTGATGTGGAAAGGCACCTAAAGTGCCTTTATCTCTGCATGTTTCTAAACCACTCTCAATGGCTTTTAGAAGTCATAATACAGCTATTTGAGCCTGTGGGTTGTATCTTTCCTAAATGTACCTAAATGCCATGTTTTCATTCTCCCTGCTCCTATTTCCTTGTTGCTTTTTCGTAACATCCTGGATTTTGCCACTATATTCAGGTGTCCAAACCCTTTCAAAGGTGTAAAATATATTGTCAGTGGTAGTCATTTTAAACAAATAGTCCAAACTGATCTACCTCACAGGACTGTATGAGGATGACAGGGACAGTATATGAAGGAGCACAGAGCAGGTGCTCGTGAACCGTCAGTTCTTATCATCGTCCCTCTCCTGTGTCCTACTTCCTCCTGCCACTACCCCGGTCCCCTGGAAGTGACGTTCCCCCCATGAAACTCCAGTCCCCCTCACGCCTGCTCTCCTCTGGAGTTGCTTGCGATCTACAAATGTGCTCTCTCTGCCTTAACTGGGAGGGCAGTTTAGGTCCTGGTTGTTGTCATTTGCCTCCTACCTTATGTTAACCAAATGTTCAGTGAGTGAGTGAGGGGCCGACTTGCATTTCCCTCCCACAGGGAGCTCAGTGCCATTCCTTTGAAAGCAGTAGCTAGCAGCTGCAGTTACAAGGTTGGGATTAGGGGCCACGGTGAGCTGTGGGAGCCCTGAATTGATCATAGAGAGTGGTATTTTCATTCTTGGTTATTCCTTTGAGGAAATTTGCTGCTGCCTACTTGTGAAGATTATTTTCCCATCTATTCTTTTTCTGAGGGGTTAGGAGTGGAGGGAATGTCTAGAAACTTCCATTTCATCCAAGCTCCATTAGAACAGCACTTGCAGGGGGCCTGCTTTGACTGTTTTACCTCCACTTCCCAAGAAAAGCATGAGCCAGTTGGCTTGTAGACTTCGTGGCCAGCTGTGTGTGGTTGTTGGTTTAATGTCTGAGAGGTGGGCTACCTGGGTAAGCAGAGAGGGTGAGCAGGGGAAGGAAAGGTACGGCTGGAAAGGGAGCAGGACCTTTGCTGGATTGTCCAAATCACTTATTTGGAGAGGAGCTCCTCTATTTTGCATTAAGTGTTTTGCTGTGAATTTTTGAAATAGCAGTCACGCCCATATTCAACTGTAAGAACCGGAGCTCTCCAAGGATGTGCAGGCGAGGTCCCTTCCAGCCACAAAGCTGTATCTACAAACAAATATTTGGGTATAGGAACCATTGTTGTGGCTTGAAATGCTCTTCTTCATTTTTCTCTTTTTTACTCAGGCTTTCCTATCCTTTAACACTTAGGTCAATTTCCCCTATACAGCGTTTGTAATTCTTTGACTCTGTGCCATTTGACAGGCTATTAGTCATGTGTTGGACTGTTTGTTACTCACCCTGTTGTCACTTAGGCTTTTTCCCATGTTTGTACCTGGGCCTCCCCACTAGGCCTTTACTCTTAAGGCTGAGGTGCCGTCCAGCTCGTACACCTGCAGAAGGGTGTCATGCAGCAGTTCCCGAAGTGTGCTTCCTAGCAGCAATAGCAGCTGTCACCCGAGAACTAGTTAGAAGTATGCACCAAACCCACTGAATTGGAGAGTCTAGGGGTGGCAGTCAGCATCCTGCCGTTTAACGGGCACTCCTGGTGATGCTGCACACAGTGAGTTCAGAAAACTTCTGGTATAGTGAGAGGAGGGGTTTAGGAGTCTGAGAGGCCTAGATTTGAAGTCAGCTGTGCCATTTACTAACTGACTTTAGGAAAGTGAGTTTTTTTTTCTTCTCTCCCTTTTCAGGGGTGTTTTGAAAAAATCTGTTGTGTGGGATGTTACTAGGTGCCCAAAAGGTGTAGGGATGGGCAAAGGGTTCTGTGGCCAGATTAGTTAGCAAAATGCTGCTTTAGTGTATTTCAACAGGATTCTTTATGCAAAGACTTCCAGATACCTGCATACGTCACTGAGTGTTGCTCAGAGTCTCCGTGGAAAGACATTACAAACTTGTTAGTTTCTAGAGCACCCTTTCTGCCACATACCTGCTAACTTTCCTGGCAACAGTGTTTCATGGAACGCCTTTTGGGAGATGCTGGCCTGGGTGATCTGTAAGGGTACTTTGAGGCTTGAGATTTTCTGGCCCTGTAAATCAGGGAGAAAATTCAGAAACTTTAAAATACAGATTAAATAGATACAATGACAGAATTTATAATTTGGGTAAACCAGACTTATACAATAACTTGATCATTGAGATGATATGCAAGTAATTAAACATAGAAGAATATAGGGTTATATTTTTTAAAGCAACGGGAGAGGTGGGGAAGGTGAGTTAAGCAAAGTGTCATTTACTGAGTGTATGGGAGCCCTGGCAGCGAACATAGATCATATTCAAATCAGGTAATTTAAGGAGATTTAAATCAAGTAGCTATTTATAAAAGGTGTAGGCTGAGTTTGGGGAAAGGAATAATGGTTGATGCAGGACTTGAATTTCTCATATATGCAAAGTTTTACATGTATCACAGTCAGTCCTAACAATTATCCCAGAGATCAATTTTGTTATTTCACTCTTTGCAGAAGAGGAAAGTGAAGTTCAAAGAGGCACCACAGATTACTTTGAGATAGTAGCTGCAGAACGGAGGCAAAATTCAGGCTGCTCTGTTAGACTCTCAGCCCTGTGCTTTCACCACGTGTTCCTGTAGGTGGAACATCCTCTCTTCCTCCAGATTTCTCCATGTGACAAGGCTGAAAACACTGCTCTCTAGAAGCTCATGTTGTCAGCTAGGTATGTTGCTATGAGTAATAATCAGTAGACAGGAGAAAATAGCACATCAGGCTGATATATAAATTAACAATAAAAACATGCAGATTATATACATGGGAAGAGAGAAAGATTGTACACCTGCAGTTTCCATGTCTAGGTGGGTCAGGGCTGTGGAAAACTGTCATCCATCCTTTTGGGGGATCTGTCCCATTCTAGAAAATATTTTTGGAGGCTATAGGAGCCATTGGAGGGCGTGGATGAGGCAGCTTCACTTGTAGGGGTAGGAGAAGAGGTAGAGGGAAATTTTTCTGACATATGGCACAGCTTGGGACGGCTTGGCTGTGGGAGTAGAATGAAAGGGTGCTCTATTCATAGGTGCCTTAGCCAAACAGAGATGTTGCTGGTGGTGGGAGGTGGGCAAGCAGTTGTGAAAAGAAAGGTCATGATAGGCTCTGAGGGTGCTTGTGACTTGTTTCCCTACCGGGGCCACATTGGTCCAGTGAAGCCTCTGTAGCCGAACACCTTTGTTTAGAGGACAGTAAAATTTGAATTTTCTAAGAGCATGGATTTTACTTCCTTGAGCAGGTTTCAGAGTATATGAGTGGGTAATTTCTCTTATGCTGTAAGAGAATTGAAAAGTCATGTTTCTGGGGAGGTCTCTTTCCCCTGTGTCATTTTCATGTTAGATTGACTTTTAATGCTGAATTAGAGTATATCTTGTGGTCAAGTCCTCTTTATTCCAGAAAACAAAAACACCTCTCAAGTACTGTGTACAAGACCTGCCTTTGCAAACATCTGGGAAAAATAACAAGTCGCTTAGAAAACTGTGATTCTCAGATGCGACCCCCGCCTCTTTATTAGTGGGGAGCCACTGGAGTCAGCCCTTATTTCCTGTTGCTTCCACACAGCAGTCCCTTACAGAATATTTCGCATGTTTTCTTAGGCAGCAGGGAGCCTTGAAGGGCAAACAGAGTGCTGAGGCCCCAGATAGGAACTGAGATGCCGGCTATGCCCACGGGCACCCCAAGGTGTGGAGAGCCCTCCTGGGCCTGGGGGCTTTGAAGTGGGGCCAGGTCCCTGCCCCAAAGTGCTTAAAAACTTCAGCTCTGCCCCTGGGCACGAGCAGGGCCCAAACCTGCCACACCTCCAACTCTTTTAACAAGAGATGTTTTAAAACAGTCTTAAATGTCAGACATTTTTCACAATGTGCCTCAGACATCTCATAAATTATTCTGCAGTAAAATTTTAATAGGAATGCTTAGAAAATAAAGTAACAGAGAATCTGGCAACTTAGACAACTGTTAACCTCAAATCCTCCTGCTTTTTCCATTGAACTCATTGAAGAAAATCATTATGAAATAGGGATGATTTTCCTGAAACCCTGCTTGAGGCTGTCTTCCATGAGAGAGGCTTTACGTTCTCTCATAATGCTCACTGTATGTTAATTTGGACAATGTGATATTCCAATATTTGACTGCTTTTGACTCAAGGCAGTTTGCTATGGTTCAGCCCAATAATATATAAAGTATAGGAGCTAGCATTCAGTGTTACCTGATTTCAAAACATTCCTAGAAAATTGTGAGCTTTTTGTTGTTTAGAAATCTGCAATATCCACCTTTCTTGCCATTTGCTTCTTATGAAATGGGTAAAGCATCTGGTTGCCGAATTTGCATCACTGCTCAAGCTGTGTCCGCTCTTACATTGGCTTCCCAGTGGGGGCTTTTTGATAAATACGTGTCATATCTGTGGCTGTAGATGCATTGAGTTCTGTTTCATTTTTATGTTTCTCGGGGTTAGGCCTGTGAGCCTTCTGTTAATGGATTTTTAGTCTGTTGTGTCTGTCTGTTTTTTTTTAGTTACAGTGCTTATTAACTTAACTTATCCAGTTTTTAGTTTCTGAAAAACTGGAATTTGGGGAGAACTTTAAATTATTTCTTGTTTCAAAGAGATAGAAAATTTGAATTTGGGATGGTCCTAATACCTGGGATATGTGGTACATACAACACAGAATCTTGGTCACTGATTCCTGAAGCGATGCTTTCTAGATGCTGTTTGGCCCATACAAAGAATAAGCAGTATTAAAGAGGCTAGTATATTTCATTATGATTTTCTCACTCTTCAGAAATCAGACAGTGTCTTAGTCTTTTCAGGCTGCTATAACAAAGTACTATAGCCTGGGTGGCTTATATGCCACAGAAATCCATTTCTCACACTTCCAGAGGTGAATTTCAAGGTCAAGGCACCAGCATGATCACATTCTGGTGAGGACGCTCTTCCAGGTTGCAGATTTCTTTTTATATCCCCACATGGTGGAAGGGTAAGGCATCTATCTCTCTGGGGCCTCTTTTCTAGGGGCACTGATTCCATTCGTGAAGGCTCTGCTCTCATGACCTATCCACCTCCTAACTCTAGTACCTTGAGCATTAGGTTTTTACCATAAGAATTTTGAGGATACACAAACATTGATTCAGACAGTCACAACCAGTGTATTTCATTATCTAGAACATTCCATGATTTCTTTGTATATGGATGGAAAGTTAGTATCCCAAAGAATTTTTCATAGTGAAGGAATATTTTTTAGTATCATTTGCCTTTTTATGCAAAGTCAAATCAACAAAATATGTATTGCCCCTTTACTACATCCAAGGCACCATGTAAAAATTCAGAAAGAATATTTGCAACAAGTAAAGAATTTTGCTCCTCTTGAAATATGACATGAGCATGACGTTCTCTTTACCATTTGGTCTATAGAAAGGTAAAGCCAGCCAGCTGTGTCCTGCATCAGAGCAGTATCCTCAGGGGGAAGCAGTGCTGAACTGAGAGTTAAAGACCTTGTTTCATTCCTCTCCAGGTCACAAGCTCACTCTGACTTTGTGGGCAGGCTTCTTCTTCCCCAGCTGGAGTGTTTTCTCCTGTGAGCAGGAAAGGTGTCAATCCAAAGACCTTACATTATTTCTAAAGTCCTTCATAACAAAATAAATTCAACATTGATTTTTATGTAATACTTTCCACTATGTAAGTTACTGAGATAGCTCCAAGTAAATGTAAGAGAACCTCTACTTCTGGGAGTTTTTAAAGGTCCTTCACAGCTAAATAAACAAAAACCCCAAACATCTATTGACCATCCTGCAGGAGTAGGTCACTGCAAAGAGCAGAGAGATGCCAGAATGTGTAGCATCCTTGGCCCCCACTTCACATAATTATCCCTGGTTTACAGAAAATAAATGATGCAGGAACTGTCCCATATCTGGGACAAAGAGTGGACTGCCAGTGAATGCCAGCTGTCATAGACACTGTACTAAGCCCAGCTTTGTGCCACGTGCTCCCCAGTTCTTTACCTGTACTGATCCCTGCCAAGCCTTGCATCAGCCACCTGAGAGGGATGCTGTGATTACTCCATTTTACAAATGAGGAAACAGAGGTAACTTGCTCCAGGTCACACAGCTAGTAAGTGGTGGAGCTGATAATTCATACATAGAGCCTACATTCTTAATCTCAGTGCCTCTAAGGGAAGGTGAGGGCCTCGGGTGAGAGGGGCAGCAGGCCTCTCTCATTAAAGGAAGGCATGGATTTGCCAAGAGTTAGTGATGGAAGAAGACGGAGACATTCGTGACTGTGAGCCAGCTGCAGGGACCTATTAGGTTCTCTCATCTTGGCTGCTGGCCCCTGGGGAGTACTGCCTCTCTGTTAGGACTGTAGCCCCAGCTTGGCCAAAAACCCCCTTTCAGCTCCCTTGCATCACTCCTGCCAGTGCTAAAAAGAGCTGTGGGTTTACTGGAGCTTGGGATTTCTTTGTCACTTTAGTTGACAAACGTCAATTCAAGGGAGTGAACAGTTGGACTCACTTGGGATTGGAAGGCGACCCCAACAGCAGAACTATGAGAAGGTTTAAAAAAGGTTTTTTTAAAATTTTCCGAAACTTGATTTTACTTCAAACAAATGTTTCCCTTTTAATATTTCCATTTGCAGAAATAAAAAATATAGTTTGGAATTTGCTGTGGAAGGCTCAGACTGAACAATGTGAAGAGTCTAACTAGCTTTCAGATCCTTTCATGGGCCAAAGGGAGTCATATCTGCTTATAGGCCTCAGTCCAAGCTTCTGTTCACTGTAACTTGCCAGTGGTGGACAATGGCCAAGCATCACATGGCTTTAACAAAACAAAACAGAATGCCATTGTCCTGCCTTGAAGCCCTCTCCGCAGCTTGGATTGTAAGCCCCTTGAGGGCAGTGATAGTGTTCACCTCAGTAGCTAGCAGCGGGCACAGCGTGTGGCACTGAGCAGACACTTCATGCAGGTTGGGCAGATTTGTGGAATCTTGGACTGAGGCCTGTAAGCAGATATAAGTGTCACAATTCCACTACGTCATGATTGTGTGACTC